AGAAAAAAGGAAATTAAGAAAACAATTCTATTGATGAGAACATACAAAAGAACAAAACACCTAAAACTAAATTTCACCAAGGAAATGAAAAATTATGCACTGAAAACTACAATGCATTGCTGAAATAAAGTACAGAAGACCTAATTAAAAGGAAAGACATATCTATGTTCACAGACTGGAAGATTATACTGATAAATGGAAATACTTCCCAGATTCAATATACTATGAAAATTCCAGTGGCTTTTGTTTCCTCAAATGGAAAAGACAATGCAATGAAATTGCAAGAATCCCAAAAAGAGCTGCAGCTGTAGCTCAGTGGCAGATCACTTGCCTAGCATATGTGAGACACTGGGGTTTGATCCTCAGGACCACATAAAAATAAACAAAGAAAATAAAGGCATTCTGTCCATCTATGAGTACAAAAAAATATTTTTTTAAATTGCCAAAAAGCAAAAACCATATTGAAAATGAAAGAAATAAAAGGACTTCCATTTCTCAAATTTCAAAATTTAATACAAGTTATAGTAATCAAAACATGGTGGTACTGGCATAAACAGAGACACATGGATCAATGGAATGGAATTGAGGGTTCAGAATTAACCTAACGTTTATAGCCAATTGATTTTTAATAAAATTGGTCAAGGAAGTTTTCACCATTCAGTGAAATAAGAATAATACCTTCAACAAATGGAACTGGGACACATGGACAACCACAGGCAAAAGAATATGGTGGACCTCCATCTCATTCCATGCTTCATAATCAACTCAAAATAGATCAACAGCCTATGTAATAGTTTAAAACATAAAACTCTTAGAAGAAATCCTCAGGGAAATCTTCATGCCCTTCTGATTTGACAATGGATACTTGGGTCTGACACCAAAAGAACAAACAAACCATGAAATAAATAAGTTGGACTTCACGAAAATCTTGTGTATTAAATGTCAGTGTTGAGAAAATGAAAAGACAACGAGTAGAAAGGGAGAAAATGCTTAAAATCACATATCTTAAAATAGTTTGGTATCCATGACATATGAAGAACTCTGATAACTCAACAATGAAACACCAAACAACGTAATTTTTTAAATGGGCATAGGGCTTGAGTTAACATCTTTCCAAAGAAGTTATGCAAATGAATACTCAAAAAAGTGCAAAACATTATTAGTCATGAAGGAAATGCAAATCAAAACCGAAGTATCACCCCACTTCACACCACTACAAGTACAATAACAACAAAAAAGTAAGTATTGGCAAGCATGTGGAGAAATAGGAACCCTCATACATTGTGGGTTGGAATGTAAAATGGTGCAGCTACTGTGGATAATGCTTTGGTTCCTCAAAATGTTCAACATTGGATTACCATATGACCCAGAAAATTCCATTCCTAGATATGTATCCAAGAGAAAGAAAGAAAAACATATTGGGCAACAGAAATTTGTAAACAAATGTTTATCTCTGAATTAACCATAACAGTCAGAATGTAGAAACAATATGAATGCTCATCAAGAGATGAATGAATAAATTGTGGTGTAACACAATAGTCATAGGACAGAATAAATACCAATACATGCTGTGGCTTAGATGGATCTCAGCACACTATTCTAAGTGAAAGAAGCCAGGCCCAATAGATACATACATGATTCCAATTCTATGAAATATCCAGAATATGTGAATCCATAAAGACTGAAAGAATAGTGGTTGCCAGGGGCAGTGTGGGGGATGGTAGTATAAAGGGGAAAGTAGAGTGACTGACAGGCTACAGAGTGTCCTGGGATGATGAAAAACTTGGAATTACAGAGAGGTTGTGTTTGCACATTTTGAATGCATGAAATGTCACTGAAATTGTACACATTTTTTCTTTTTTGTTCTAATTAGTTATACGTGACAACAGAATGCACATAATACATAAATGGAGTATAACTTCTCAATCTTCTGATTTACATGATGTAAAATCTCACTGGTTATGTAGACCTATATGCACATAGGGTAATAATGTCTAGTTCATTCTACTATCCTTCCTAGCCCCATACCTACCCCCTCCCTGCACTCCACTCTGCCTTATACAAAATAACTCTGTTTTTCCCTAGCTCCCCCTGATACACACTTATTGGGAAATATCATCTACATATCAGAGAAAACATTCTGGTTTTGGTCTTTTAGAATTGGCTCATTTCACTTAGCTTGATTTTCTCCAGCTCCACCCATTTACCAGCAAATGCCATCATTTCATTCTTCTTGAAGGCTGAGTAATATTCTACTGGATATGTATACCACATTTTCTTTATCCATTCATCTGTTGAAGGACATTTAGGTTGGTTACATACTTTAGCTATTGTTAGTTGAGCTGCTATAAACACTGATGTGGCTGCATCACTGTAGTATTCTGATTTTAAGCCCTTTGGGTATAAACCAAGGAGGGGGATAGCCAGGTCAAATGGTGATTCCATTTTAAGTTTTCTGAGGAATCTCCATACCACTTTCTATAATGGTTGTACCTTTTTGCAGTCCTACCAGTAATGTATGAGTGTACCTTTTTCCCCACATCCTCGCCAACATTCATTGTTGCTTGTAATGTGCAGATTGAAATTGTACATGTTGAAGCAATTAATTGTATATTATATGAATTTTACCTCAATATTTATTTATTTTTCTGCAGTGCTGGGAATCAAAGTCAGGGCTTCACACATGGTAGGCAAGCACTTTACCACTCAGCTATACCTCCAGGACCAATCCCAAATAGTTTTTAAATAGGCCATACACAATGCTTAGTATAATTTCTTTTTAATTTAAAAAATGAAGTTATTACATGAGTAAAAATGTGATAGATCACAGAAGACATTAAAGGTAATTATCAATGCATGGTAAGAAATCAGCTAATTTTAATTCATTTGCTTAAGTTATTGTATAAATCTTACAACATTAAGAATTAAATGCATATTAATTTTTAACAACTAAGAAAAAGAAACTATGGAAATATTAACTGGTTTGTTTTCTTTCAGTACTAGGGATTGAACTCAGGGCCCTGCATTTGCACAGATTCTACCATTGAGCTACATCTCTAGCCCTGTTTCTTTTGAGACAGAGTCTCACTAAGTTGCCTAGGCTGTCCTCAATACTTGTAATTCTCCTGCCTCAGCCTCCCATGTACCTGAGAATAATAGATTTTTTTAAAGCATTAAGAGGATGTTTAAGCTGTAGGGTTGAGGATAAAAGGAAATTGCATTGCATGCACAGTATTGTCCCAAGTACAATACACTGCTTAACTTTAAACATCTGTGTGGGAGACAGGCAAAAGTGTTACTTTCGCTTTCTATTTTCTATATTTTCTTAATGACACATAATAACCACAATTAGACAAGTAATTTATTTTTTAAATGCTTGCTGTTGGGTACATTAAGTTTCTTTCAAAGCAAAACTTTAATAAATGTAGATGATTTGCTATTAATAAGGAGGACACCTACACTGGAATTACTCATTTTGAAACTTAATGTTCGCCTAGAAAGATTGTAAAATACAGAGAACACAAAGATGAAAACTTAAATCACCAGAATCTAACAATTTCAAGACATAGTTGACTTTTGAACAACATAGGTTTGAACTGGATAGGTCAGCTTGTATGTGGATTTGGCAGTCAGGTGGATTTGTGAAAATTTTGAAAAAGTAAAAGGAACCTCATAGCCTAGAATATTGAGAAAAATTTTTAAAAGGGTATGTCATAAATGCATAAAATATATGTATGTAAGACTCTATTTTACCATTTGCTACCATTCAGTGTGCATGCATCTATTATAAAAGTTAAAACTTATCAAAACTCACATACACAAACTCAGATTATACACGATGCCACTCAGTGGAGAGAAAGGCAAAAAAAAAAAAAAAAGTGAAGAGGCTGCATTAAATCTTGACTGCATGAATGAACTGCAGCACATCCTCATCCACTGCAGTAATTTCATAGCCACCTCCTGTTGCTATTGCAGTGAGCTCCCGTGTTGTGACTCTTTAAAAGCCCTTGTGATGCTGATCATCACCAGGTGAGCTCCACACTTTCAAAGGTGGACCATATTTAGTTGTTCTTATAAAAGACCTGAGCATGGGATCAGCTAGAAGCAATCCTTCACTTCCAGTGTAGTATGAACATCAGCATACCAGTGTCTACTGTGAGCCTTCTGTCAAGAGCGTGCCTCTCTGACCAAACATAGGAAAGATTAAAAGGACGATTATTGTCCTTTGGCTGCCCAGCATGCTTTCTCATGTCACATGGTATTAGTGACCTGACTATCCTTTAGAATATCAACCCTCTCCCATCCTTAGTTCAAGTGGTTTGGGTGGGACCTACCCCAGTCTGCACTGAGAAGTAGAAGTGACCTGGCTCAGCTCAATCAGAGGATTCAACTCCTGGAGCCTCAGCAACTTGTTAATTTAGGCCAGTGAATGTTCAGTGTGAGAATTTTGCTTGAAACATTGAGATGAGAGGTGGACTCTATCACACTGAGTTTTGGTAATTAAGTGAGAGATGTATAAAATCTCCCTGGGAAGAAGCCATGATGATGAACGGTTTGCCAGGTAGGATTAGAGGGTGGTAGATGTGCCTTGTTACTGCCTGTCCATCACTCTGGTCATGACCTTCCCCTCCCCAAACTGTGCCCTGCTCATTTTCTACCAGAGGGTCAGCTCTCCAAGGGAAGGAGACAAATATCCAACATGCTGGTCCTAGCACAAGAGATGGAGGCACATCTGCTAAACACATGTCTGCTACAGAAATTACCCTAATGAGCTTAGCAGCGGGGCATGGAGGCCATGGATGGTTGTATCACTGGGAACCCAGAATGCTTCACTGGCTAACACCACATCCTACAGTCTCCACCTTATGCTCTTGGGTTCTCATTCTGAGCTGGAACAGGTGGTGCACTCTGAATCATCAGCACCCGGTACTGATGTGGTCACTGCCTGATTCTCACACAACCACTCAGAAGACGTCATCAGACCAGGCATTGGGGGTAGGGAGCTCTCATATAAAGCCCTCTATGATTAATTGCCTTAAAAACAGACAGAAACACAAGATCAAGGAGCCCCTCCACCTTCTTCTGCCCCTGGGGACTAAAAGAAATCAAGAACGAAGCTCCACAAGCCCTCCTAGGAAGATGCATTTGCGCCTGCTGCTGTTGGCCTTCTTTCTGCCTCCCAAAGCAAGGGCAGGTGAGTGACCATTCCCTCCCTCAGAGGTCCAACCCTAACCCACAGGGGGCACAGAACTCCTATATCCCTTCTGCACACCCCCTGATACAGCCTTCTACCCAGAGCCTTCTGAATCCCAGTTCCAGCCCCACTGCAGAACCCTAAGAGAGACACTGGGTAAGCTAGCAACATGAACATAAGGGGCAGAAGTCTGTTTGGGAGAAGAGCCAGTGGATTCAGTCCCCTGCCTAGACCTCATCCTGGTCATCTGGAAAGTGGGGCTTGGCTACAAGTGCACCCCAGAGGGTGGAAGGAAGGAAATGTTCAATTCACCTGGAAAGAGGCAAAGTGGGTCTGGCACCTGTGTCTGGGGTGAGACAGGTGCACCCCTTCCAACTGCTTAGCAGAGAATTCTAGAGCCCAGGTGACCCCAGAAATGCTGGAATCACAGTCCCCAGAAAAGTTTCTTTTCTCAGTCCCAAGCCACTCCATCCCTTTCGCCAACTGTTTCTCTTCCTAGACCTCTGGTGACTCCTTGTTTTCTAGTGGGAGCCACTGTGGCAGACACTAACTTCTCTGCTTTCCAGAACCCCAGCAGCACTGCCCTACCAACCCTCATCCAGAGACAAACTGGAGCCATTCTTTTGTGCATCCCATGGACTACACGTCAGGCCTAGAAAATAGGACAGAACAACATCTAGAGTGAACTGAAATCCTGGCCATTAGCAAGCAGCCAGTGTCCTAGGCAGCACAGCACTCAGGAGGGCCTCAGAAATTTCTGGAAACAGAAGGCTCCTCTGGGATTTCATTGCCCCTAAAAATGTATGCTCAACTCCACCTATGTAAGGAAGAAAAATTTGTAGACCAACACCTGCTTTCTTTACCTTTTTCAGAAAAGGAAGGTGAGGCCCTATCCCTCAGCCCCTGCCCAGACTCAGGTCATCCAAGGTTCCCAAATGCCCCACAGTTCTGGAGGCATGGAACGGATGCCCATCTGCTGGATTCACGGGGTGCACACAAGTGAGGTGACTTTTTCTTCAGGGGAGATCATCGGGGGACATGAGGCCAAGCCCCACTCCCGCCCCTACATGGCTTATCTTCAGTTCTTGAGTCAGAATTCATTGCGCACTTGTGGTGGCTTCCTGATACGAGAAGACTTTGTGCTGACGGCTGCTCACTGCTTAGGGAGGTGAGGAACAGGAAACAACCCAGACCCTCCTGGAGACATTCCAGAGATATCCCTGACTCCTTCTCAATGTTAGCACAAAAGGACTGGGCTAGACACAAACTTCACAGATCAGCAAAAGCCTATATTCAGGAACAGAGTCACACCTCTGATGGACACACTTTCCTGGTAGAAAATGAGCTACTGGCCAAAGTGAGAGCTTACGCTTATATAGGTTACCCTGAGAGGTGATTTTAATTAATAAGCGTATCAGTTTGGGCACTCAGGAATTTGAGATCTGTTTTTACCTGGGCCAAGGGGAGGGTTCTGTGTCAGTGGTCAGTATCTAGGATTTATCTTTATTGGGCCAGATGGAGGGACTGGGCTAGGATTTGTTTTGAGAAGGATCAATGTTTTCCCTCTTTCCAGAGCCTGCCATTCCATGCTTGATAAATATCTCCTCCCTGAGAAAGAATGTACTGGGAAGGGATCAATATATTGCCTCCATCCTCATTCTCATTTCCCAGGCCATACAATTTTGCAGTTTGTTGTTTTCCATATTCAGTACGCAGTAGACACACAGATCCCTGAGAGAATATGTACACAAGATAACTTCAGGGATGGAAAAGAGGGTGGGAAAAGTCTTATGAGGAGTAGGCAGGCCGACTCCAGAGGCACTACTGAATAAGAAAGACCGGGGTGGCCAACCCTGCCATATAAAGAGCTAGGAGCATGCTTTGCCATGAAATGGAAACTAAAAAAATTGCATGTGTTTTCCTGGGCATGATTGAATCCTGAGAACCTATGGTTCAGATATCAATGGCCTCAGAAAACTACCTCAATGCTAAGAAGCAGAGGGCACTGTCACTCAGCCCAAGGTCTCCTCTCCTCTCTGCCCCTCCTCAGCTACAGCTCTACCCTGGCCCTGCTATAGCCTGCTCTTCACAGCTCCTAGATGTATTCTTTATGACTCCACATCACCCATGACCACTGCACTCTCTATGCAGGCCAATGAACGTCACCCTGGGGGCACACAACATTAAGAAGCAGGAGAAGACCCAGCAGGTCATCCCAGTGAAAAGAACCATCCCCCACCCAGACTATGATGATCATTACTTCTACAATGACATCATGTTATTGCAGGTATGTCCCCCTCCCAGCTGCCTCTGCCCTCCCTAGTACAGGTGCTACCCTCCCACCATGACTCTGCCCCTTTACTCACTTCCATCCTGGCCATCATGGTGTCTAGGCCCAGAGGCCCTTGTCTGAACTGGACTCTTTTTCTTCTCCCCCATAGCTAGAGAAAAAAGCCAAGTTGAATCCAGCTGTGAAGCTTATCAAGCTGCCCAGGGGCAAGGACAAGGTGAAGCCTGGGAAGGTGTGCCTTGTGGCTGGCTGGGGGAGAGTGGCACAAAATGGCAGATACTCCAACACACTGCAGGAAGTGGAACTGACATTGCAGGAGGACCATGTGTGCAAGAACCACTTCAGCAATTACAATAGTAACATAGAGACATGTGTGGGGGATCCAAAGAAGAAAAATGCTTCTTTTCAGGTAAGATTGAGTGTCTGTCTCTCTTGGCTCTGAGGAGAGAGATATTTGGGGGAAGATCTGGGCCTGGAGACCAGGCAGCATGAGCCTCCTTCACCCAGTTGGCTGTGATTTCTCCCTGGAAAGAGAAGAAGGGTGCAGCTGGGAGTACCTAGGGCCTGCATTGAATGATGCCTGCCTTGAAAGCTGAGCTTGCAGTGCTGCACACTGCCTCAGCTCACAGGCATTAGAGACCTGTGCACCTATGTGTGCAGTTGCTCTCACTAAGTGGCTTATCAGTGCTGGCACCCACCCTGGTCTCTGGGCTCATCCTCCATGCTGGTGTCTGTGCCACTCACCTGCTTCCAAAACCTTGAACAATGCAACAGTAGATCCTCACACTTTCATAGGGAGACGATCCCAGAACCTGGGGAGCAGGACAGAGGCTGACCCCAGGAAGGAGGTGAAGTAATAACAATGTCCACAGTCAGAACATATCAGCTGAGAGCCCTCAGAGTCCTGCAGAGTCCTCTGAAAATAGACCCTACATTTCATCCTTGTCTGAGAGGTAGTCTGAGATGGCAGGGAGGATCCAACCAGGAGGATACAGGCTCAGTCCTCCCTCTTCTCTCTTCACAGGGGGACTCCGGAGGCCCTCTTGTGTGTAACCATGTGGCCCAAGGAATTGTCTCTTATGGAAATAAAAATGGGAAACCTCCCCGTGTCTACACCAAAGTCTCCAGATTCCTACAATGGATAAAGGAAACCATGAAAAGCCACCAACTGCAGGAGACAGACTAAAGCACCTATAAGACTAATCTTCTCTCCAGAAACTGGGTCTAGAATCACCCTGGAGGAGATGCTCACAACTGAATAAATGTCTCTTAGCCATGTGGGAAGACTGGTTTTTTCTTTATTCACTGGCCTTCATTCACACCGTCTGTGTGCCAGGCAGCCATTGACACAGCTCTGCTATTTTCTGCTTTTCCCTCCTCTTTCTCCCCTCAACACCTGCCTAAGTCCCACACAAAGCTGTGACCCAGCTCCTTCCCACCCCTCCAGTATCTCTAGGGCTTGCCTTTCTGCCAGTGTTGGAGCTGGGCACCACCAGGAGAAATTTTGAATGGCTCTTGCCTGGGTCTTATGGTGAGTTTTCTACCCCCTTGCTTGTTGAGGTGGAAGATATGTGTGGGGGATCCAAAGGAAACAAAGAGGAGAGCACCATGGGTCCTGGAGGCCAGGTAGGCATAGCTGAGGTCACTGCTCAAGGACATGGTCCTACCCCCTGGGCACAGGAAGGGCCCTCCAAAACAGGATATTTCTATCCCCCAGGTTCATCCTTAAGATGGACAGTCCTTGAATAGCCCCTCATTCTCACATGGAATTACATTTCTTCCCTGCCCTCCTCTGAGTTCAGGGTCCACCCTGACCTCCAACTTCATGGCTGCCCATTCTTCTCCATCCCTGCTCATATTCTATCAACTCCTCTCCAGACCACACTGATCTGGGCTGCTCCCTTACTCAAATCCCTCCACCTAGGACTCCCAGATCCCCGTGGGGTTCCATCAGGCCTTTCCATTGGGGTGCCAGCCCAGCTCATGCCCTGGCAGAGAGGGGACATCATAAGAACCAGGGCAGTGCTGGCATCATGCAGAGTCCATGGAGGACCTGGCTGACAGGATCTCTCTCCAGAACACTTGGTCCTTCTTTCACTTGGGCACAGCTAAAGCAACCCCTCACTTTCAGATTGGTGTTCTCCCATGTGCTCAGGGTCCACTGGCCACCTGATCACTCAGCAGCCTAAGCCACTTTCAGCCTTTCCCTCTTGGTCACTGCCAGCCTGTAGCCTGAGACTTCCTGTTAGCCTTCTAGGCTATATCAGTTGTATAAGTTCCATAAAAGACTGCCTTTCTGCAGAAGGACTGTGAAACACAGCTTTTTCCAGCAATCACACTCAATGAGCACTTCATAATGGCCAGAACTTGGGGAGATGCAGTTAACACAGAAACTGACCTAAGTGGAATGGACAGTGTTGGAGACTTTCCAAATTGTCCTGCTCCATCTGTAATGCCAGATTCCTGGGACCCAAATAGACCTCCAGGAGCTGAATCCAATATAATCACACAAGAGTCTTTATTGCAAGCTCCAGCCTGGACTCACAACCGTTTCCAACGCAGCAGTCCTAGGGAGTGAGTCCCGGTCCTTTGTTCAGTGAGATTTTGTAGGTTTTGGGGGGTACTCTATGCATCACAACATCACACAGCAAATCATTCCATACTGCGGGAAAATCAAACAACAACTCTTAACATTGATTAGCACATTCACTGGCGGGAACAAGTTGGGTAGGGGTGATTAGTTAAGTACAAGAGGGGGATTCCTTTGAACTGATTGGTTTAATCCACGAGGGGTGTACGTGCTAATCTACATGGTTTCCCAACATGTTATCAGCCACCATAAACTACTGGGGGGTCATCTGGCATCCCAGGTATTTTCCCTGTCTCATGCTGATTGGAGGTTGCTAGGGGGTTGCTATGGATCCTCACCTAGCCTAACTGAGTCAGGGACACCTGGACCTGCAGATCTCTCATGTTATTTGTAGAAAAACAACTCAGCAGGGTGGATATGTACTTAGGAGTGCTCTGTTGGTTTTTCCAAGGACAAGGGTCACATCCCCTTCCTTGGACAGGCTTTGAGACAGGCTGTTTTCAAAAATGGAGTCATATCATTTTCTCACATCCTCCCTATCAGTCCATAAGGTATAGACCTATGGGAGAAATACATTAAAATTCAGAATTCATATCTTCGTTTTATTTCTAGTTACAGGCAATATGAATACAATATTGCATGATGCTCTAGGACAAAGACTATGAAATTTGGAAGTGACGTCCATCATTTAGTTTGTGGATGTGAAGCTGCTGAACTATTCACCAGAGCTTCCTTCTTAGGAAAGAGGGCAACAAATAGGGAAGAAGATTACCAGGGGAACCTTACTTTATTTGTTTTCAAAGTAGCAGATATAAATGCCAGTGTACAGATTCACATTGAAGGAGACACACACATGCAGTTGGACTGCTCAGAAACATAATCCCTGTCATTACTTTACCCCTGCCATACAGAACAACATGAATCAGGGAGGCTCCTGGGGCCTGGGAAAATGGAAACATGGCTCTAATATTCAGGCCATCATGGTTACTGCTCCAATCCATGTCCCCAGTGCCACCTGGGAGTCTCTTTGGTGGGAAGTTCCTGTCTTAGAGATCACAGATAGTGTGTAACTTTTTGTTAAATAAAGGTATGCCTATGTGGGGCTAACCCCACAGCCCTGGATCAGGGTCTGTTCATTTATATGGGGCACTGGAAGTTTAGCACAAGTTCTAACTCTAGATTAATGCCTCCTTGTCCCAAACACATACCACTTTATACTCCTTTGTGACATGAAGTCAAATCTACCCCTTCAATTATGTAACTCTCAAAGGTATGCCCTTTTCCATCCTTTGTGTACAAATCATGCTTCCACACAATCATGATGATCTTCTATAAGGAAAAAGCAATGGATGTCACACAGCTTCACATTTGTGGCTGAAAGAAATTCCTGCATCGAAGACATGCTAGGAGCAGGCTTCTGCATTAGGGAAAGAAAGAAGAAGAAGAAGAATATACAGAAAGAAAGTCAAACAAAAAAAAATAGTATTTAAAAAAGTGACTTGGTCATGTGCCTACATATTCAATTTAGGAGTTACATCTCCTTTGAGGAAAAGGTTTTGTGGTTTAAAATAACGTTAAAAACCATTGTTATAGGCCTTTATCATCCTCAGGAAGAGGAAAAAGAAAGGAATGTCCAGGAAAGGTGTGTCCAAAGGTGTTCACACCAAGCCCAGGTCCCCCCACCACCATGCCAGAAAGGGACCTTAAGTGTCTCTAACACTCAGCCTGGGGTGGCTTCCCAGCATCTCCAGGCATGAGATGAAACCTCCCTAGAGAGAAAGTCTCTGCGCCCTCCTGCAGTTGCTCAGTGACAGGTGCCGCAGTCTGGCTGGGCACAAAATCATGAGCCACTCAAGCAGGAACAAAGTTTATTTTTTTGAAACTGCCGCCAATGTCCGGTACCGCCCGGGCAGATTTTTTCCACCCACGCGGCCTCCTCCCGGACCCGCAGAGAGAGCTCCTCCCCCCGGAACTCCCTCCTACTGTACTTCCCCAACCAATGGGAACTCTCCAGGAGTCCCGTAGCCGGCCTAGGTGAACAGCAGGAGTCCAATATCCATATGAATGCAAATCTTAACATAATCATATCATCTCAATGGCTAGCTGGCGTCACCTTTAGACTAAAAATGCCATGCATCATATACTTGGCTCTTAGCAGACAGGATTTCATAGCACCTTCCTCTAGTAGTAGAAACCACCCAGAGGCACAAGTGGGTGGATTCAAATGTCAATTGAAAATCTCTCTGGTAAAGTTAACTACATGGATAAATATGAAAGCTAGTATTGTTGTATTTTTTAGTCTCTAGATCCTCTTTTTCTCCTAAATGATTTAAAAGAAAAATGCATAAAATAATGTTAATTTGTTGAGAGCCACAGCCGAAGGGGCCCCAGCAAACTTCCAGCTGCCAGCAAACTTCCAGCTGCCGGCTGATGATTGGCTCACAGCGGCCCCAGCAACATCTAGCTGATTGGCTCCTCTGCGGTGATGCTCATTGGGCTGTTTCCCTGCCCTTTCAGACCACGGAGCTGCTCATTGGCCCACGTGACCCAGCCAATCGGCCTCAAGAGCAGGAGGATTGTGGGAGGTGGAGAGAGGCTTGTGTTGTTCGGGAGAGAGGCTTGTTGGAGAGAGAGGCTTGTGTGGTTGGAGAGAGAGGCTTGTGGAAAGCCGGTGGTGGCAGTTGGGTCTCTGAGGGTTTTTCCTGAGAGGCTGTTTTGTTTGGCGTGTGTGGTTCTAAAAATAAAGTTAGTTTCTTTTGACAAGTGGCTCCTGATTGTGCCCAGCCAGACTGCGGCATTAATTGGCACACAGTATACTAGGACATAATTTGTGATGATAACAAAGAGCAGTATGGATCTGGATAGGAGCAGAGTTAAGTTGTGTTGTTGAAGCTACATTGGTATTAATTCAAGCAACATCAGTATACTTGTAGGATATTTACTGTATATTATATAGTGATCATTAAGAAAATAACTTTAAAATATACTCAGAAAAGTAAACTAATCATTCAAAATTGAACTTTAGAAAAAAATCCACCATAAAAGACAGCAATATTGGATGAATTGAGGAGCAAAAAATATACAACATAAAAAACACACAGCAACAGCAAAATGGCAGAAAAATGTTTCTTGTTATCAATAATCACTTCAGTGTAAATGGACTACTCTTATACCAATTATGTCAGGAATTGAAAAAATGGATTAAAACTGTGATCTAACTGTATGCTGCTTTTGAGACTTATCTTAGATGCTACTATATAACAAGGGTGAAAATGAAATAACAGGGGAAGATATTCCATGCAAAAGTAATCTAAAGAGAGCTGGGTTGGCTATGTTAACATCAGACAAAATAGACTGTAAAATAAATCATATTAAAAGACACAAAGAACATTGCATATTGAATAAAAATCAATACCTCAAGAAGACAATATAGTGTAACCTTCACAGAAATATAGGCACCCAACATCAGCTCTCCAGAAAGATGAAGCAAACATTGGCAGAGCTGAAGGGAGAAATTAACAGTTCCATAAAAATCCTTGGGAGCTTCAATACCTTGCTGTAATAGTAGATAGAACATCTAGACAGAAGTTCAACAGGATACAGAATTCTTGAACAACACATAAATCATCCAGACTCTCTGATAGCAAAATAATGCACATCTCTCTCAAGTGCATATATAACGTTCTTCAGAATA